TAGCAAATGAGACCCCTTGCTGTAGGCAACACACAAATTCATTTTTAATATAACTGTAAAAAAACTGGATATTTCCAAACTGCTACTCTACTGCTTTAGGACAGATACCTCATTTTTAATTACCATCCCTTTCTTCATGAAAGCTCCTGGTGTCCAAATAAATTAAGAAACTAAAGTTTCCCCTGTACCCAAGCACAAAACCATGAGGGCATGCAGGGGATGCAGAGGTAAAGCTTCAAACCATTTCACTAAACAATCAGTTTCACTACAATCCTCATTTGAAACAATTACATAAGGGAGGTCTTTAGTACTTTCCAATATTGTATGTAATTCTATTATTATAAACTACTTAAAGATTTCTAACCCATCTTGAAGAGAAATACACTTATGTTGTCAAATTACACACAGCTGGTTTCACAAAATCTGTATTTGAACTGTCTTGTTACTATATTTCCAATTACTGTTTACGAACATAGTTACAGTTCACCATCTAACATACGAACACATCTTAACAAAGTCATTTTAAAATACAAATTTAAGAATAAAATATTATTCAAAATGTTGTGAGTACTATGACTGAAATGAGGGATGGGACTAATGAAAACCACTAGGTACAATCCATACACTTAATGTTACCTTTCGTAAAGAATTGACAAATACTCCTTTCCATTTTGCAGCGTTTTCTTCCTTCTCAAAATCATAATTATGTGGTTCTGATGTTGAAGATGGCGTGGAAAACATTGCAATTTATAGTGAATTGTAGTAGTTAGTGACAAAACAACTGGCTTCTATGCGCCATGTTTACTGATTACGAAAAATGAGACAGATGAGATTGACATTGAAACACCACTGGCCTTGAACATGTACAATCAAACACAAACATTCACAAATATGTGAGTAAAGTTCACGTAATAAATATGACAATAGGAATGCTCAAAACTTTATATAAACACACAAAAAACCTTGAAAGATCCATATTTTATCTCACACGCAAAGAACCAACCAAATATCTCACTATCAAAACTGACTGCGCATGCGAAAATTCTAGAGTTCGATATATCGAGGTTTTGTAATGATAAGTAATGTTGAATGCGTGCAGTTAAAAACTTCCCTCAAGTAGATCAGGATTGAAGGAAAAATTGTAGTGTAAATGTTGGTGTTTCAGAAAGTGGTTAAAATACTGACGATAGATGGCAGTAAAATGTTGCCTTGCGGCACCTATCGTCAATATCGTACAATTGTTGTAGTCCAGTATATTCCCTACTTTATATGAATTTCAAAGAGAGTGAATTTCTACCAAAAGGGCTCATAAAAATATTGACAAGCCCACTAATTGACTCAATAGTGCAAAATCCTGCCTGAGAAGCTGACAGACGTTCACCTGATCCAGGTGACTTCAGACCTCAACCCTTCTTCTTTTCCTTTCAGATCAACTTTAATATTATCCTTCCTTCCACGCCCACGTCTTCCAAGTAGTAGTCTTCCCTTCGAGTGTTTCGACTAAAAATTTGTACGCATCTATAATTTGTCCCATCCTTACCTACTATGTCCGTCCCTTATAATTCTCCCTGATCACATATCCCTAACAGGTCGAATATTTGGTGAATTGTAGGTTGCTGAGGTAGCGAAGTCAGATAAACGTGTTCCGTCGGCTATTTTAAGGAGTCCGACGCGGCTACACATGGGAGCATGTGACTGCAGGTTTATAACCTGCCGTAATGCTCTGTTTATCCACTTCGTCTGACTGAAGTGTAACGAAGTTTGCCTAAGATGAGATGTAACATAATACAGCCAATTCTTACGTAGGCCCAGTCAGTTATCTACGACACACTTGTCGATGTTGGTCTCATGCGTTGTGGGTTGTAACGCCGTTTGGGCTTGCAGGTAGATACCAACATTTCGGCGAAAAATATACTGCCTCCATCATCAAGGCTGAAGTGATCATAGCTTGAATGTGGAGACAGTATGTTCCTCTGAAATGACGGTATCTATCTACAAGTCCACATGGCATTACAACCCAGAAAAGCAGCATCCTCACCTTCACTGCCGAGAGAACCTCGAATCTCATACGTCAGTGTTCCTCAATACTTTTGGCACGTCGGACCCACTCCCGAAAACTGTCTCATACATCCTGATTAAACAAAATGTTGACTAACTAAACTGTCGACACACGGCAGGCCTGTTTTTTTCCCCACGTTTTTACTCCAATGTGGAAAGAAAAAATGTGATCGAAGAATGCTCAAAACTTTTAACAATGCAGCATCAACGCAACTCGCGGACAATTTACGCACAACTTGTGGATCCCGGTTGAAAAAGATACAACGCACTTACTCGCATATGCGCGTAAATAAAAAGGTAAAAGGAGACCAACTACTTCAGCATAGTTTTAGTTCTGTGCTTCGGACCAGAAATATGGTCCAGAAGGTCATATATCTGGTTCCATGCAAGATGTTTTCATCCTTTTTTTAATCACTAAAACGAAACTTCCTAATAAGTTGATAGCTCTTTGAGAGGCAGTGAGAACTTCACTGTGCAAGACTATGTGGGATAGATAAAACGTTTAAATTGAAATTATTGCACTAATCTCCTACCCCACGTTCAAATTTCCTGATAATTAATTAAAATTCATTCCGTTCACACTAATCTAGGACAACCTTCCGTCTGTAGAGTATCCTCTCCTGGACACCTTGTCAGATTTCGACAAAGTTCTGTAACGAAGTCAAGTACAAAAATACAAATTGGATAAAATATAACGTTTCGGAGGCTGGGTCTTCTTCCGTCTTCAGGTAAAAAGGGAAAGGAGAGAATCCCTAGCTGTTGAGCCCACTAGTAGAGCTAGTCTCAGACCTGGGCTAACCAGGAGGCCCATCAGCTAGGGTTTCCGTCCTTTCATTTTTATCTAAGATGGACGAAGAACCTGTTTCCAAAACGTATTTTATTCCATTTGTAATTTAAACAATAACAAAGTAAAAAATATGCAGATTATGACATGACATCGCTAGAGACCTCAAGACTTCATGAATTTGTAACACTTGTATCGTCTAATAAATACTGCAGTTCTCATACATCAGTTATTTCATTAAGACACATCACGATTTCTTGTACGTAAAAGACAATATGTCAAAATACCGATTTATTATGCCCTGACGGGCATACCTTTTCGTTGCTGAGCCATTTTCATTAACATTTCAGCGCGTATTGTGATTAATGGGAGTCGAAAGCGCTGACATTTCTAAGTACGCAGACATGCAGAATGCGTCACTCACTCGCTGCATTGTTGCACATGTCAAGGACTGACGCTGTTCTGGGATTGTTATAAAGGATCTTAACAATGAGTCTACAGGAGAATCAAATATTTATTAACATGCTATATTTCTCACACATCTGAAAGGAAGTATATGTGTATAACATATAGTGTTACTTGTATATAACAATAATTATTATTATAATAATTTAACATTAAATAAAACAAGCAATAAATATAAAGTAAAAATATTGAGCGAGGGCAATGTGTTATATTTCTACCCCTGATTTGCTACTTAATGAGAAAAAATAAATACAAAAAACCGTTACTTGATAAATTCTTGGTAATGTTACATACGCACTACCTAACACACATACCAACATATATACTCCACACATCCAATTCTTAATACTATTGATGGCTTGCGCCATTAATACTACAGAAACTGCGTATTCCAGCAGAAATGACTAGAATCTAAACGAAGTAATAAAGTCATAACACACTTCATTACTTCGACAAAAATAATTTAACGTTAATACAACATCCTTGGAAATAAAATTAACATAACATTAAAGAGATTTTATGTCATAAATAATAAAATAAATTAAATAATGCCAGTGGCTTATGAATGCAAATGCACAAAATGGAAAGGAGATGCAATGTGTTTGTACAGTTCATTTTATGAAGAAATTAACTCTCTCAGACCTGATCCCAAAATTATATAGACACCGGATATAGTTTATTTTCCCGTTTCTTTGTCTACGTTAGACTTTATTTTCTAATGTTCATTTCCGCTACAATAATGTACCACAAGCCGTAGAGATGAAGATAAAACAAATCATCTAATATTACGTCATCTCCATATATTCTTAAAAGACGCCACTCACTGAAATTTTACCTATTCCTGGGCACTAGGTCTGAAGCGATAAAATGACTGAAATAAACTGAGTTAGGAATGCAGTTACTTAAACACAACTTCAGTCATTTTCACTTGAAAAAGAAACAGTGACAAGTCCACATCTATCAGCTGTGGTTCGACAACAAGAGACAGGCGAGATGGTAGGGCTACGTCGTTGAAGGGACCTTTTCCTCAGACCTGCAAAGAAAAGAGAAATACATAAAATGGCTACTGTTTGTTGAAACTCTTTTAACAAACTATCCGAAGACTAAATAGACATAGGAAAACACCATCCTGACATAATTTAATTAAATAATTAATCATGTTTTGTATTCTATAGGTCCCGGAGTAGATTCTCGGACAGATGACCGAATATCTCGGCTAAAGTTTGCCATGGTATTCTTCAGTCCCTCCAGGCAGCTGCTGGATTACTGTCTTAACATGACTGATGAACGCTTCCTTCCATGTTTTTCTTACTTTTACTATTCATAATAATCCTCCCATTCGATACTACGTAACCACGCAATATTTAAAACGAGATTTAAAAAAATTAATTTCTCTAAAATGCTTACCAAAGTGTTCTGTACAGATCTAACCACGCCGTATGACTGTTCCCCAAGAGTGTGGGTAGATTTAAACCACAATGTTCGAACAGAGTTCTTAGAATACGATTATTAAAGCCCCCTCGTCTAATTCACACCAGTTTCGCACGATGCAACACCCAAGAGCCTACAGTAATACCCGGTTTGTACAACAGAGGCCAGGCGTATCTTTCTATCGGATGTTTTATTACAGATCTGGGACCATATTACCCTTTCTCATAAACTCGTGGGCCGTTGTGTTATTAATGACAATTTATTGAGTATTCGTAGCGATTTATTAAAATTACTACAAACCTAGAATCGCAAACAGGTTCATATACGTGAAACTCGAGTATTTTATTTATTTCGTTATTTTTGTTAATTACTGAACCCGTTACAACAATTTCCCCACAGTACATCAATTTCCTTAATCTCCTTCTCAGTTTTCCAAATACCTCTTGTCGAGAAGGGTTTCCTATAAAAATTTTGTACCCATTCCTTGTCTCCCCGTCTTCCATAAATGCTAGCTCATCGTAATTTCCTACATTTCAGAAACACTGTTTCTCTAAAGTTATTAAATATCACTGTGAAGATTAATAAAATCTTCTCGGGCTGACGGCCGTGTCTATTGAGTATTTTTCAGGAGGTATTTTAGTTGCCTGATGCTCTGAAGTATATCCTTCCCGTAAAGGTTGTTACGAAGACTTCTGTACTAACATCTAAATGTACAAAGCGGTTTCTGAGTTGCAAACTCACCTGAGCTGCATGGTACCATTCCGGTAGCGACTGATGGGACTCTACGTAGTCCCGTACATCCTCGTCACTCTCACTGTTATCCGCTAACATGGCGTTAACGTTGGCGTTGGCGTCCGCCGTGTTGTCGCGGTCGTCTTGCGTCAAAGGATTGCGCAGTTCCTGCAACAGGACTTCTAAAGAACGGCGTCGTCGACGTCCACTGAAAGAATAACAGAGCCATGAGCAAAGATTCTTCCTTCCTGAGTTAATAATGTTCTCCCGTCTACAGCTGACATTTCCTCTTTCTTTATCCTAATTTGTGATGGTCGTCGTGACTCCCTGTAGCTCGAATACGAAGTTGCCGTCATGAAACTGCAAGGGTTTGTTCATTGCGAAGTTGTTCTACACAAAAAACAAAACTTGAAGAAAACCAGGGAGTGTGGAGGCAAAGCTCCATGCACTCTGAACTTCGGTATTACACCCGGGGCTCTCCGAACACATTTACTTAGCCTTATTACAATACCCCCGATTTCATTCACTGACATGCTGGGGAAGAACATCTAATCGCCTCTGTTGGCAATCGAATCTTGGTCGTTCAGTAACTTCACTGACATCACAAAGGTGCATACACCTTAGTCCTATAGTCTATACACTTAGTACACATCTTCACATTTCTGCAGTTTAACCCATTGTTTCCCTTCATCAATGTACAGTCTAGATTCGGAGGAAAAGGTCTCCTCCTCTAAGGATAAAGGCAGCAGAAGAATGAAACTCATCATTCGACTTCATTAAATATCAGCGTTAAAAACACACATTCCCATCCTTATTTTTCACTGTTGTGTTCTACGAAAAGGAAAGTCTATTCTTTCGCCACATCTCATGAACCCAGTAATTTATTTAAAACTTTGAAACCCGAAGTTCATCTAAATAACATTTTAAAATAAAATTCTTACCTCAAGCAAAACATAACACATCTCCATTAAAAGAATCACTTGGTAACATTCTTTAAAGAAATAATAATCGATTTTATTCTGAGAATCGTTAAGAAACCCATAAAAGCGGTCTGTAAGATAATTGCAGAGTTGGTAAATTTTAAAGCAAGTAGTTCATATAGGAACCACCGGTTTTTATAGAATTAATCTCACTCATTCTTGTGTCACAAACGAACACAGGCAGTTGATTCAGGGGCATTGCAGTATATTCTGACTGCGAAAACAACTGATAATCGTCAGCGTAATATGGTTATGTGGGTTGTACTTGAGCCGGAGAAAATTACGCAACGAGGCTCCACTTCACACAAAATTTTTACTGTCAAACGAAACGTGTAGGGGGACAGATAACTGCATACAAAGCTACGATTGGAAATCTCATGGGAAGGGAATGGAAGATTAACAGTACGAGATAAGATACAACGGCAGGTAAAAGGAAATAATTTCTTGGCCACATGATTAATCAAGGTGACCAAGAACCTCGTTGTTTACTTATCCTATAAGCAAAATTTAAAAAAAGATCACTTAGTATTAAGTTTTCTGAATTTTCCCACTGAATAGTTTTCCGAGCAGACCTCGAACGTTTCGATAACTAGATTTGCTTCCGTCCTCAGGTGGAAAGGTGGGGATACGTGCTCAGGTGGACCGCTGAAAAGTTAATTTCAATCACCAGCCCGATGACAGATCATCACGGATTCAAATAAACCCATTCTACTGATTTCTTTTTAACGAGTCCATCCGAGAAGGTTCTCCCTGCCTTTTCATATAAGAACGGAAACTGATCAGCTTTTCGAAAGGTTGTTTTCCGGACCTTCTCAGTTGCATGAAACTGATAACCCGAAAGTTGATATTTTCTGGATTTGGGACATCCAAGGGTTTTGTTACAACATAATTACGAGGTTATCACGACAATTAAAATAAGGGATCCGGCATGCGAGCCAGCCAACTGACACGGCAGTTCTGTAGGCTTCATATCGGAGTACGATTTAGGAACTATACCCGAATTTTAATTTTCTGCTTTCACTGTACGTGCCTATGATACACATACAGAAATTTGGAATTTAACTTCGGTTACAAGAGAACTTTTTATGTTAGCTGGCTTTGACATGAAGAGGTACGAGATTTTCAGCCAGTTTGGAATGTCGAATTTACTGCAATCAATATAATATAATACGTATAACAAGACATAATATAATATAATCCTGAATGACAAAAAAAATTAAAACAGAAGGAAAATATTTTTTATAATATTTTACACACATTATAAGTTTTCAAGTGCGTTAATAAAGCATGGGATGACTTAAACAAAGCAAGATTAGGGACAACAGTATATAAATTACACAAAGAAATAAATACTGAAATACGAGCGATAATGCATTTCAATGGCTTCCAAACCTTTTTACAGGTAAGCCACCTACTCAAATTCTGAGCTCAGGGGTCAGACTGATAAAGCTAAAAATAATTTGTATGATTTGAGGTTTTCACAGCGGTGAGTATGAAGATTTCTGTATTCTAGGTTGTTGCGCCGTGTAGCATGGTAGATGTTTACCATACTACACGGCGCAACAACTCAGAAGACAGAAATCAAAAATTATTTATTTCAATATAAGGCTGTTTTCGCATTAAAAGTCTAATTTCACTATCTTCACCGGACATAAATCGTAATCAGAAATAAAGGAAACTAAATAGTGGCATAACCAAACAGGATGTAATTCCATTGTAACTATAATTTCACCTCAGAGACAAGCCATTCGGTTCATTTCACATTAAAGAGTTGCTGGCTGCATAAATACAGTGTGATTCTTAAGTGCAGGCTTATGTCTCGTTCGTATCATGGGAAGAATTGAGTTTCCTCTCCAATAAACACTATAAAATACACTTACCTCTATAAATATTGCATGTTTGGCGTACAATTTTACAGAACAGGATAAAATTCTGTGACCTATTTTATCTCAGTTTGTACCATCAGGTATAGAACTATTAGAGTTGTGTGAAGTCGTTTTAAACAGACTTGCGTCCTCCACAAAATGTTATTACGAAAACACTACGGCCTCTTCAATTTCCATACGATAAAAGGAGAGACCCATACCAAAATGCGACTTTTCCTTTTTTTTCAGAACTTGAGAACGAAGAAAGTACTGTAAAATTGGTTTAGAATTTCTAAAACTCATTTAAAGAATGTAAATGTCTGCATGCAGGCGTACAGTTCTCACATATAGACATTTCCAATGTAAATTGTCTTCCATCAAAGTTCAGCCAAGGAATCGAATCGTAATTTGGTTAGAGGACGCGGATCCAATAAATTTTGCGACCTAAACTGAGTGAATGTACATTTTTCCTTAAGAGTGGTTTTCTGTCTTTGCCCTCTGATATTATATTTTAGAAGCTATTGACAGCAACGCAATGATAATGATGATGATAATAAACATATATTATAGTTTGTTGCCCGTAGAAAATCATGGGTTTGTTTTTAATCCTTCTTCAACATCTAATTCTATCCCTCTGCAGCCCCCGAAATTTATCAGCGGTTTCATTATGAAAAAGAAATTACAGTCTAGCGTGTGATCTCTTTTCAAAGCGAAGATACACGTTTGACACAATTCTTTTTTCAGTAAGAGCTACACAAAATGTGTATTTTCATGTCAAAATGTATAATATTCGAAATCTAATTATACGAAAAGGAGACTAAGACTAACTCGCAACTTGTACTTGTACAAAGTGTGATTTTAATATGGACCACGGTCCATCAACTTTATTTTATTTCGTAAATTAAAAGACTCGTGTAAGAAAACTCCAATCTTCCAATATCTTGAGAAAAAATTAACAATTATAAACTTCTAAGTACAACAAGAAGAATTCTTGTGTGATGTACATTTAAACGTACTGAAGAAAACTGGTTTAAATATAACAGCGGTCTTTCAAGGAACCACATCCTGCTTTGTCAATGCGGAAATGTAATTTTATTGCTGTAATTACGAGTACAGTGGTTTTAAAATTATTAGCTCACTTCTGTGTAATGGAGTGCGCAGTGTGCATTATCGTACTAATATTTAACTGAAGAGCGAAACAAAGAAAATTACTTCCTTCAGAGTGTCAGTTCAGTACTCTGAAATAAATGAATTTACCAACGCTGGGTTAAAATAACTATATGCCGATATTCACTTATATTTTATTTCAGACTTTAAACACTTTACGTTGATATTATTTTGGTTTCATATCTATAAAAATCCTAGAATATTGTTAGGGGAGGGGAGCTACAAATACAGCTAATGTTTATTTTG